TTCTGCAACCTGTCGTTTCGTAACATGCAATTTGAGAATCTCGGAAGTTTTATTAAGCACTGTAGAGTCTGGTAGGCCCGTATAACCTATAAGGGCTATAAATAGGAAGTATTCCAAGCAGAATTATCATGGAGTTTGTGTTTCAATTCAGTGCCAGAAACATTTAAAAAGAAACAAAATCTCACTAGCAAAGCCCCTTTGGAGCTGAAATGTCGCACTCACTAGTTTCTTCGGAAATATTTGTGAGCTTCATAAAAAAATGAGGAAAATTCAGAAAATAGAGATTGAAGTTATGAATACATGTAAAGACACGATTTGAGAGACATACAACTGTCTACTGGGATAATGGTACTCATAGTAAGGCAATGATAGGTACATATGATGAAAATATCACAGAACATCAGTACACTTATCTAAGAGAGTGACTTGACTTTCTAACATATGTACGCTGCATATTTATTCTTCTCAAATCTGTAACGTGCTTCTATATCTTAATATCATATTTCGTTTTTTGCTGATTTATGTTAATAGCTAGTTGATATTAATCATGATGAGTTGATTGTATATCGATCGGTACATTTATAACCATCTTCCTACTCCTTTATTGACATTTTAATGCTAGCAATCATTATTTGGGCCCTATCCACATATTTTTAGGGTCTAGCATGGATAGGCGAGCCACAAAATCTTTGATTTACATTTACACTTACTATTATATTCTTCGGAAAATAGACAAGCATAAGTTTTACATAAACGTCGTCTCACAGGCCTTCACTGAAAAGAGATATGAGTAATGTGTTACTATTTAGAGAGTATTTTTACATTTATTACTCCTGCACAATATGTGATAAACTGTCAGAAAACACCTTATCATATTTTTAGATAATGATTGACGGACCATGATATACAGTTGGGTAGAAATAATACAAAAATTTTGGATCATGAACAAATATATCAGTTGGTTAGTGGAAAAGATTCCAAACCTCGAGAGTGTCTACGAAACTTTCAGTGGTTTGGTACAAAATATACGAAACTTTGACATGGATAATAAATTGGAAATCGGTCAGCTCAAAAAGTACGAAACCAGCAATTGTTTTCCAGAAAATATTCCAAACCTTTTTACAGTTTAGGGAACCAGCAATGGTTCCGTGGATATATTACGAAACCTTAATGCCGACCAGAAAGTGTCGATAAGTTCCGCATAAATAATACGAAACCTTCGGACGGTCCGCGAAACCAACAGTGGTTGCGTGGACATATTACGAAACCTTAAAGTCAACCAGAAAGTGTCGAGAAGTTCCGCATATATAATACGAAATCTTCGAATCGTCCGGGAAAGCAACAATGGTTCCGTGGACATATTACGAAACGTTAAAGCCGAGTAGCAAGTGCCAAAGAGTTCGGCACAAATAATGCGAAACCTTCAGATTGTCCACGAAGCCAACAGTGGTTCCGTGGGTATATGACGAAACCTACTGCCATTTCACAAAACTATCAGAGGATTTGTACATGGCGTACGAAACCACAAACCACTTTACGGAACCTTCGAAAAGTTCAGGAGCAAAATTGCGAAACTTAATAAAATCTGCTGAACTTAAAATAGTTCTGAAAGGAGACCACGGAACGTTTTTCACTCTACGGAACTTAAAATCGTTCGGTGGAGAAATGCGTAACTATTAAGGTTCGGTAGAGTACCGATTTTTTTTAGAGTGTACGCGTATGATTTGCAGGGGTCACATATTCTCCTCATTCTTTCTCTCAAGTAGCTGCAAACTCAAGACGCTAGTTAACAATATCCTACTTTTATTTGATGGATGTTTGATATCTACAGCAGACATCTAAAATAATGAGAAATCTGTTGTATATCAGTTGTCTATGTTAAATGATTATCGTTCGGCTGACCGGTATAAACCCTTTCTGCCAATTCAAAAAATTGGCAGAGCGTCACAAAATTTCTGCCAATTGGCAGAAATGGCTATGAAACTATAGGCTCGAATTTCTAAATTAACTTAAAAAAATAACAACCTTAGGCATAGCGACACCCCACACCCTCAGAGAAAACTGCCGTGTCTTTTATTCAAGGATGTCTACACATTGCTATGCTCATTAAATCTATTGGAGATGAAAAAAAGAAACGACGAGTTTCGATTAGATCAGTAGCCTAGTCCCGAAGGACTGGTTATTAAGCTTTCGTCTCGTAATATGAATCGGCTCCTGATCGCGGCTCATCGTGCTCTATTGGTCGAAAACAGGTATATAAGCTGAACCGCGCAGATATGGTGCAATCACGGCAGCCACGTTGCTCTGGGATTGCGCAACATCAATGTTACAGATTCATAAATTGATTCGTACAGATAGCCACCATTCCCCCGAATCCCATTGTGTTATCGTCGCAACAAAGAAGATGTCGCATTCTGAGAGTTTATGAAAGAGAAGAATCTGGATAGTTTTGAGGAGCAGTGCGCGTTTATCTTTCGTGAAATGCTTGCTGTAAACGAAACGCACCACGAGGAGACTGGAGCTCATTGCACTATATGCAGCAGTAATAATCTGTGGGTGTGGGTGTGGATGACTACAGCAGAAGTCACATACACCCACACCCTCAAGAGAGTGTGGGTGTGGGTGTGGGAGAAGTGAATATTAAAACATATTCTCCCACTCACCCCTCCTACCTGGTACCGAAAAGAATAGTCGTAAATTGGCTTCTCTCTTTGCAAGCTCTATATAATAAGCAAGAATATGTTTCACTTTCGCATTCTGTTGACAACTCGCACGAAACTCTGAGAGAAGCGTTTACTTGTTTCATATCGAAGGCTGACGTTGACAACCACCAAAAAATGGGTCGCATGGAGAGTATTTGAGAGCATCTGAAAAGCTGCGGTGTTGATCATGCAACTGTTGAGAAGGCAGCTCACGCCGTTTTGAAAAAGGTTAAGCAATAGATTTGAAGGATGTCACGGAAGCTGTTATCATCGGTGTCATATGTGCGGTTGGCGTGCCTGCTGGTCCGGTAGGTTTGGCAGCAGCCGGTGTCCTATCAATAGCCGTTGCTGCAGGAATGAATGAACTGTGAACTGTTGATTTTTACTCCGCTTGTCTCTCTTTCCAATCTGTTACAAATAAAATTCATAAGAATGCTTGACAGAAGACGTCTTGTCTGCAGGACCTATAGGCAATCAATGTGCTTTTGACGCGGGATGTTCCGGCGTTTCTTCATATTGAGAAATTTACATTTGGTTTGCCATGAATTAATCCAACTGTATTCAGATATATATTACCATTTTCTTATCATGAATTATTGCTAAAAACAGGCGCCCACAGGCATATCTCATCGAATCCATATATTGCCAAGTTACTCTCATGATATTTCTTGAAGTATGAAACTCTATAACTAAAACATTGTCAATTCCTTATTCCCTAGGCTTCGCCAGGGCGGCAATGTGGTAGAAGACGTGAGACAACATGGGTTTATTCCCACAAAGCAAGCGCTTCAGCTACTGTTGTAGGATCATATAGTGTTCCAACGATCAGAAAAGAACCATGGTTCATTTTCTGTGAATACTCTATCACCAAACAACATCTGCCTCGTTTCAAATGTTTTCAGATTCTGTCCAGCTTTCTGACACCACGACGAAAGAGTGACGGTAAAATAGTATTCACTAATCGGAAAACCAACGATGGAAAATCAATTTTTGCAACGGATATATGAAGGAATCTCAACTGCTGTTGAGATTCTTTCTCATTTACTTGCATTTTACATAAATATGTGCAAGCAAGAGAACAAAATGTAAACATTACACGATGGCTGCTTGCTTTCAAGGACGAGAGGAAGCCACTTAACGTCGATTTCAATCTTGAAAAGAGTGAAAACGACGAATGCAGTCGAACTCAATGCAGACCTTGCATAAATACAATTACGATATTACGCACTCGGTGTGTGAGGCTATCGGTTTCGTGTAGATGAGGCCGGAGTCGACGGTCGGATATGGTAGGCTGTGACGGCGTGGAGGGATGAATGTGATACAGATGTTTTCCTTATACGCACCCACACCCACACCCTACTTACTTATCTCTCTTTTGCCATTGTTAACAACGCGCTCCCATTCACGTCTAGTATACAACAATTATTATATTTTTGATCACTTTTGTTTTAGATTTAATATCATGATTATGTTCATTTCTCTACGACAGAGGAAACTCGTGTGCGATAACATCGTAGACGTCGTTGTGAATAAATTTATCGGTGCATGTGACTCTTTTCAGCATTTATCGTTTCGTGTTTTTATTCCTTTCTTTCTTCTCTTTTCATTTTAGTGTACAGGTGTGTTGGCGGCTAAACGCTTTTTGTTACTTTTCTATCGCTGCACTTATAAAACAGTTTCGTTATGCCGATATTCATGTTGCTTCTGATATGAAGTATGCTCACTAACTTTAGAAAAATATTCTTTCTCCATGTATGTCAACATACATTACATCTATTTTTGCGCTCGTAATGTATTAGTCATTCTTAAGAATGTGAATGATTGGTAGGAAGTAAAAAACTGGTATTTTTTGCGTTTTGAATTGATTTATACTGTATAATAGTGATCTAATATCAATCAGTATTTACGTATTTTTGGTCGATACCTCATCTGAATCAAGAAAAAGGAATTGAGTTGAATGCAGTTATCTCATCTTCATTGTACATACGTATTCTCAAAGTATCAGACATATTTGAAACACTTGACTGCTTATTCTTGAGAATATTATCAAAGATACTATGTAGACGATTGTTGAATCTATAGTACGAGTGAAAATAGACTATAAGTTATATCAAATGATTTCTCTCAGAAAACACATCTCGAACTATATTTCATTTGTTGAATTTATCAAAAGCTCTCTTTCTAAAAGAAACATTACAGATTTTAATGATATTATACACAATCTTCCGTTGTGTTCTATCTCATTCTGTCTGAAAAATCAACACAGTGTATATGTTCTTACTAGCTCGAACATAAATAATGGCCAGCCCAGAACGATTATCAACTGAAAGCATCGAAGATCAATACTCATCTTACACATACTTAACTGACTGTCTAGTTTCAACGAATCAACAATCATCAACATCATGTGCTAAGCAGGCAGACACGGAATCAACACCAATACTTATCAAGAAAAGTATAGTGACGAATAGAGCTAGTGGTGAGTTCAGACCTAAGACAATTACGTCGGGGTGTGGGTGTGTGGCCCCTCTTCACCCACACCTTATGTCCATTGGGAATAGGTAATGATCTATCTCGGGTTTTAAGTTGGGGTAAACAATACGATATTACACAACTATTCAAAACGCTTCCTCAAATCTTTCATGCCCAACCAGTAGTGCTGGATTGCTGGGAAATTAACTTTGAAACATTGGAAATGACAACTGCAACATCCAATCCTGGCAATCTGACTGTTCCTCAATGTCTTTGTTTCGTCCTCGATCACCCGAAAATCGTTCCTACTACAAATCTAACGAAGCATGAAAATCATCTGAAGCCGGTCAATCACTACTTTTTCCGCTATATTAGTTTTGGTTTGGATGCAGCAATTATACTCGATTTTCACATTCGTCGACTACGTGATCCAACTCAATTTACGTCTTCGTTGAAAAATAAGATCCTCTATTTGAACGAAAGTAGAAAATATTTCAAGGAGTTCCTTTTTCCTCCAGCATGGAATTTAGGTTTATACATGAAATTGATTTGTGACGCACAAAATTTTGACCGGTTCGATTCGATCTTGTCATACATTAGCGCTGATGAATAGTGCCGGATATGGAGCCGGCACGAATCCTTGGAATAGTATATTTGTAAATAGAACCGATGGTCTCCCATGTTGGAAAAACCGGAGTAAAATTGACGGTTTACCGCGGTTTTACCGCTCCGGTTACCGGCTCCCATTTCATACAAATTTACCGCTTTTCTAAAATTACCGCGGTTTACCGCAAAAATTGAAGCGGTATTCGCGACATGGGCTATCAACTGATCAAACTACAGTAAATTCTAATTTAATGACTAAAGCATGATCGAAAAATGCTGATCGATTTACGCGACAGAGCTTTAATGATAGAAAGATTGAAGTAATTGGTTTAAATAAGTTACGACACAGATGGCTTTCGTTCATTTGGGCTTCCAAGGTCAGCGCATCGCTCAATGCAGTGAAGTTCGTATCGAAATGAATCGCCCGATGGTTGCTCAAATGGATGGTGAGCCATTTTTTCTAGCTGAACCGATGGCTGTGAATGTGAAGCACGCTGCACAAGTATTTGTATTGATAAATGAGCATCGATGATGGCAATGCCACATTCTTGATTGATCGCTCAACAGTTTGTTTCTATGAAACAGTAGAAATTCCAGGAAAATCTACTTTTTAGTAAAGAAAATTGTATTTATTTATCGTCAAATATAAAAATTCTTCTATTAAAAAACCGAATCCGAATCTAACACTTATGAAGAAAAGAATTTCAAAAGATAAATTTCGATTTGAATCGGCCAATTATAAACGTTTTTAACTTATCATATTCCATTCTAAGAAGATAACAGCTATTCAGACATATAAAGCTTTCAATGAAAATGTAGGATTTGCTGGTCACTAGCATATCATGTAAAAAGTATATTACATCAATTCCTATCTCTTTAAGTTAAAGGTGTTCATGCATCGAGATATTTTGGTATTGCCATGTAAAGCAATTCTTCGTGTAACATAATCTAACGAGATTTTGAGACTTTAATGGTCGATCATTTTTTGTTTTTGTATTTTAGCCTCTGGTAACTGTTCTAAATGTTCATTGACTCTGTTTGAATGTATCAAACTACTTAATTTATCGATAGAAAAAGCAACTTCTACATTGTTGTCTGATAGCAACCAGATTAAAATCCTTTTCCATAATTTAATATTTAACAAATACACGAAATTTTGATTCCTAGTTGATTCATAAATTCGCGGCTCATTTACAAAAAAGAAAGCCGGATTTAACTATACAAAATTCCAACAGTTGACTCGATATTTAATCTAGTCAAATCGGTTCTCGATTAAACTATGATTTAAATGACATCAAATATTTAGTTATAACTGAAAAATCATTTTTGCAATGGATGCTCTACAATAGTTTAATACATATTAAGTGTAATCTGTTTGACAGCAATTAGCTTTCTCTTCGGAATGCTTGAACCACTACCTAAAAAACTATTTCGGTTAATACTTTATTTTTCGATGCAATTTGGGGTGTGAGTGTGGGTGTTGATATTTCATTAATATCGACAGTCACACCCACACCCACACCCTCGTTAGTCCATAACTATTCTCATGGCTATCCATCTTAGCAAAATATGTATCGCTAGATTTATATACTATAACACAATACATTTTGTTGTTTCTTGTCTACTTCGCACTTTTACCTATGTATTACTGTCGTATCATTCATTTCAAAATATCTTACAGCATATGCATATTTTCTGTTAATCAATAGATAGATATCGTGAATTCATCTTCAATTACAATTGTCTTTCATTTTATCACATAAAGGAAAATTATTGCTTGTTATCGATGATTATGTATTTAGTTTAAATAAAATTGTGAGTACCACAACATAGTATTGTTGTGAAAAAAGAGGCTGCGCTGCAACAGCTCACACAGATTTAAATAATGTTCTTTTAAAAGTAAATGTAAATCATTCATGTGCAATTGAACCAGAAAAAAAAGAAATTCGTATTTTAAAACAAGTCGTCAAGGAACGTGCTATTAAAGAAACCCATGTAAAAGAAAAAGTACCGAAAATAGACTTTTAAGTACTATGAATGTTTAAAAAGTAGCAAAAGGTAATTAAAACTGGGAAAATGGGTTATGATTTCGAACCTACCTGATGATGATCGAATTATGTCTCGATTAAAGCGTGTCGTATGGAACTAGAAACCATACAATTTTAAACACACTCACACCTACATCCTGTGTTCGAATCTTCGCCGAAGATTATTCGATGCTATATTCTCAGCTAGCACAATCAGGCTCAATTTTTACGGGTGAATAAAGCTACGATGGACATCTATGTTCTTTATTATTGTATTTACTCATTCAGCCGTGACAACAATATTACTAGTAGTATTTTTATGAAAGATCGAATTCGAACAATAACAAATGTCTTGAAACTCTGGTCGTTTCGAGGTAACACAAGCCGATGTTTCACCATATTTGTTTATCCGGCTGAGATGTTGCTTATGAATATCGAATGTTTTTTTTTCCAGATCATATTCTGCCGTCACTTCGAATTGTCCTTGGCCGGGCGTTGTTTCGAGTTGAATCTGATAGAACTTCGTATTGTTCGACCATTGCAATGACTTTTTCCCAAAGCGCGATGTTCCAGCACGTTTATTATTTGAATTTACAAACTTCAACAGGTCACCACTACCATTCAGCTGACTCGCTTTGTTCACTCGAAGTACAGCTAGTGTAGCACAGTCACGTTTGTGGTCTGACACAAACTCATTCAAGAAATGAACAACAGCTTGACTGAACTGCTGAATGATCGGCTCATTGATAGATAAGTCATGCCAGTTGAGACATGCACACCAATGAGGCTGGATGCCTGCATTTGCACAGGTTCTATTTTCGGGTACTAGCTCAAATAAACTGAACGAGCGATTTGATTGCGATTGATACGGAACGAGTGAATGGAATTTGAGAAGATGTTCGAACGTTTCGTGAAGATCGAACATTGTCGTCAAACGGCGTGAGTTAAGGCGTAGGTTTCGCATGATCATCGGATATTGAGCTTGAAATTGAGTTGGCATGCGAATGGCCATAAAAGGCAAACGTTCTTCCAATTTACCTTGATATGTATTGCGTAATGACGAATACCGAGAACCATGATCAGTTATGATAATAAGCATCGTGCGATCGAGATAACCATGCGTTTTTATCATTTGAAGAAAACCTAATAGTTCATTGTCGGCATAGGGTATAAGATTGTTGGAATTGTGCGAATAATCAGCATGAAAAATGTAGGAAAATTTTGGTTGATGAGGATACATGTCGAAGAAATTGCGAATCCAATTGAACATTGCCTGAAAACGAGTAATCGAACCAAAGCAGAACGGTTTCGACTTTTTCTTAGATTCGGCAAACAGATAGAACGGGCGACCGTAATGATCAACTGGTGGATCACGAAAGCCTTTCAGACGATGTTGGAATGTGCCAACAAATTGCATATCTTCGGCCCATTGTGTTACATAGCCACTATCTTCAAGAAAACGAAAGCAAACGTAGGTCAAACGTCATTCAAACTAATTGTTAAATAGATTCTCATCATTAATCATAATGGTTCAAAACCCTGTATTCATGCCTACCTGTTTATATGAAAACACTTGCCTAAAATTCTCAAAAATTGTAATGAAGGAATAGAATGTTGTTTAACCGCCAACATGGTTGTTCTGTGTTAATGGTTCAAATTTTGAAATAAATACGTTTAATGATTCAGCATCATACTCAAAATGATATTTTGATACTCTATGAGATTCGCTATACTGAAGAATAGCTCATAAACCATTTTAGCATGTATAAAAACACAATGAGAGGATAACTTGTCCTTTCGATTCACAGATAAAAGCATAAAGCCTATCTAGGATGAGATGTGACTAGTTTTACAACTTCATTTTAAACTAACACTTCCTAATAAATATCAATGTGGATAATCATCGGATGTAACCTCTCTGTGTCTATCAACCTCGCTTTCCCAGCACAAAGTTTTCGAGCGAGAGGAATACATTAAATCGTGCGAATGATCAAAAAACAACAACAATCAGTCCTGTATTAAATGTTTTACCTTTAAATTGATTCCAAATCCAAGGAAATTGATCGACGGTTTCCGCATCTGCATGGCCTCGTCTTGCTTCCGGTAGTTCCCTTTGAGTTTTTCCTGTAAGAAGAGGAAGAAGTGCTGCGCGTGTACCATCGCCAACAATATTGTATCCTACAAATCGTCAAGCTTGTGAAGCAGTCTTCCATGACAAGTGTTCGTCAAGAACTTACCTTTCATAACCACAGCACCGAGTTCTTTGATTATAAATGAGTAGCTTTTTGGTAAGAATCGCATGAAAGTCATACGGGACACTGAATCGAAGCCGAACATCAAAATATTGTATCCAATATGAGTGTTTACCATCGAATTTCGTATACTTCTACAATTCACGATTGTGAAATTGAAAGAACTCGCGATATGCCTTCACTCACCTCAAATGTAAGAGTGTATCAAACTTAATTCCCATGTGAAGGTTCGAATAGGAACTACCATTTTTTCCATGACAATCGACACGAAAGAAATCGGAAATCAGAGCCGTTTTATCGACGAATGGAAACAGTCGAGCACCTTCCATTGCTGAGAAATCATCTTTCGATCGGAGAATAGGATAATAAGCGCACTCGATCGGTCCATGTTTGTCTAGAGCTTCTTTTGATAGCCGAAAGGTACCTAAATCAATTTTTCAAATGAGATTCAACATTCTACAACCGTCATTAATATGACTCTGGCACAATAACAACTAAAATAATATGCTAGAAAATAATACGTTACTTCCGTACCATTTTCAACATAGACCCAATTTTTCTGTTTTCCACAATCAGGTTGCGATTTTTGAACAGGGTGGAGATGTTTCCAAATATCTGGATGGTCGATTTTTAATGTAGGATAACGGCAGGTCAACTGAGTCGCATTGAAGTAGTCTTCTCGTAGCAGATGAAGATTCGACGTTGGTTTCATTTTCGCATCTTCGAGATCATTCTCATCGACGATGAACGCTTTAGTCGACTCACCGAACGGTGATAAAGTAATATGCGAGTATATTGAAATAAAAGCGATTGTCGCAATACAAAATGTCATGCAAATCATACGCAAAGATTTTTTACAACAAACTCGATATCGACGACGCATGTCCATAGAGAATTAATATGGAACAAAAAGACAATTATTTCTTAGTTTAAACACAATCGATGTAAAGAAGTGATTAAGTTCTCAGACGTACAAGTAAATGAAAAATAGACGGAGCCGATACACAGCTCAAGCCTCCGTAATTAAGTCGACAACGATTCCTGCTGCATCTACAAATATACTGCTATGAAAATCCTACAAAATTTTCCATGTAAGATCTTATGGTCAAGAATTATTCTAGTTCAGGAATAATCAACTCCAAAAACATGTTGATCTCATGTGTTTAAAAAAATATGACCTGATTAGCCGCATTTTGGTACATATATTGGGTAGGGGTACGACAGTTCAACCCCTAATATTGCGCACGTATAGGGAACCTCGAGATTAGAATATTTTTAAGAGGATTCGAGGTCAGGGTTCATTTTGAGCTGACATATTGAATTTCCGACTTTCAACAGATCAGAAACATTCGAATCTTTTCTTCTGGTTGCCTAGAAAAGCAAAAGTTTATTCTTAATCAACAATTCCATGATAAACTAGACGCATGATCAGCAAAGTCGTGTGTAATGTTCAGACTTCATCTCGTTTCTATAAGCAATATCATGAAGTTGAATCTGAAACAACAATCCATTAGAACGAGAACAAACCATTCAGTGATTCTTAACATGTAAGTGCTGACTGAGATTTTTATGAGACCAAAGATGTTGAGACCTCACCGATTAAAATAAATTTCACGCTTGACTTCTCGAAGAAAGCAGTATGTAGGGAAATCGACAAACCATCTATTCAAATCCAGTCCTCATCAATAGCATATTACTCACTTTCGTCACTTTATTAAAAACAAGAGAAAATGTGGATACTAGACGACCTTTGCCCACGATAGATTTCAAGAAACTCTAGAACATGCTCTTTCTGCTCATGGTCATGATTTGAAATGATGAGCTTTTCAAAAAGCTTCTGAAGATTCGATTTTCAAAGTCAAAATATCTACTGTATCTTCAATCGTGTCCTAATAACCACTGTGTACTTCATGTCACGTGACATTCAATATTTGTTTATATCTGCTCAAGCGCATTTGTTCAAATTTTATTTTTTAAATTCATATACAAAATTCTTTTCTATATGTTAATATAGAATTTTTCTGATTAACTTTGAAATGCAATGAAATATAAGGAATTAACAACTCTTGTTACTATTCAATGGCGATTTAAAGTCCTGAAGCCATCCAAATCACACTATAGAAAAAATCGTTCTCTCTGGTATCTTACATCAAGTTGTACTGTAAGACTCTTATCAGATCTTACTAACTGATTTCTCGAGTTGGCTATCTATTTCACTCTTCGTGTAGTAGTCATCATTGCATATTTATGCATTATTAAATTTGCATGTATTATAGAATTATTTATTTTAAAATGTTGAAGGAAATACTTGAAATTAAAAACGATACGAAAATTTATTATTAAAATAGTACAAAACAGGCATGGACTTGTAGAACAGGAACAATTGTTCTCGGTTTCAAAACAAGTGATCGTGCGATCGAATAATTCCCTATTCATTGCAGATTTTCTTAAAAATACTTTTTGGTTTTCAAAACTTTATTATCCTTTAAACAAATAAATAGAATTCTATTTTTATTATATAAAAATTAGGAAGGTTCCTCTAGTGTGCACGCCTGTATTTTTTTGTCATAGAATTTTATATCTAAATAAAGTTGCTGCGGCACGACAACATTCAACAGAAGATAGGTTTAAGAGTATTTTACATAAATCACTAGATTAGAATGTTTAGACATTTATATTGCAATAAATCCACCAATAGTTCCTTCATTTCAATTGATTTATTTATGTCAAGTAAATAACCTTGATAACGTGCTGACAGTTAAAACTTTCTTCCAAACCGATGTACCTTTGATGAGATATTTCTATCACAAAAGAAGTACTTCTATGAGGACAGTGCTTTCAAAAATCTTTGAATATCTCGAGAACGAAGCAGTACTTTTACGAACAGTTTGGCTCAATAGCCTTAAAATTTACCTCTATAGCACATCGTAAATTGAGCAAAATCGAATGACATCGAATGACCAAGTACCGTCATCGCATGCACGAAATAAAGAACGGTGCTGTTTGCATAAAAGTATGAAAATTGTTCATATTTCCCTGAAGAACTACTTATCAATGGCAACATTTTCAAGAGAGTATGAAGTAGTTTCTCATTAAATTTTTACCTCACAAAAAAATCACAAACGAACTCTCACGTGAACGTATGATTGAAGATACTATACAAACATTTTTGTTTGCATTGAAGATGATACTCGATAAATCTTTAATAAAATTGGTATATTAGTTAAAATCCCATAGATACTGCTCGTTCTCTGTAATAGCAAAATATGATATTGTGCGTTGCTCAAGAAAAGACTCTTCCTCTTTCTCTAATGTTGTAAATATTGAAGATCCTAAGACAGATTTTATACAGTTTAGTTGAGTGTTAAAACTTGCATCTTGCTTATAAATTACTAGAAAAGTTCCGAAAAAGGCATAACAACATTTCTCAGTATGCATAATTTGTTTTTGAATACTGTCATGAAAGCATATGTCAATTTTCTTATTAAACGATCGGCTATTTTCGAGGAAGTCTAAATTGCTTGGCTTTACAGTATTAAATTCAGTTACAAGAATAAGATGATTGGATTAAGATCTGAAATTAATATTTATTACTACAAGGTTCGAATGAACCCCTAAATCTTGCATTGTGTTCGTTCTAAGATATGTCAACTATTCTATAAAATTAACTAAAATATCAGAAGACATTCTCGCGCACTTACTTAAACCACTTTTGTTTTCGAAGAACCAAACACTTTCTTTAGAAATATTCAGAATCTACTTTTGCACATCAAACTTTATCTGATACATCTGGCGACAATACAGAAAAACTTAGCAATACCGACATAGTAGCGTTTTTGAGTTTCGTAAACAAAATGACACCATTCGTTTACGTTCAATCAAAAGAACAAGTAGCTAAGATATCCGATTAAATGCTTTCTTGTTGGCTGAACATTCATCGCAGCAATATTATCATTTTTTGAACATTACACTAAAAGACAATTCATCTATGAAAAGATGTTAGAAGAATTCAATGTAATATTGATAACAACAAGCAGTATGCGTGAGATTAGAACTATGCTTTTTTAAATTTCGCTCTATTTATTCGTGACATCCTATCTTTTTTATGATTTTTAGTACAGTTTGTTTCGGACGCTTACGAAACTATGCTTGGTTACAATAAGAACGGAAATAAAAATATATCGCTTCAAGTATCACAGATATGTTAAGAAAGAAAAATAAGTCTGATATAATTACATGATTGTCATAATGCATATGAAGCTATTGTATATGCTAAGAAATGTATGCTTTGAACAGTAGTCAATCAGTCATAGATCACTTGATTTATTTTAAGTACGAAAGAAATATGTAATAATCATCTAATAGGCGACTAGCCATGTACTATCAATATAAAGTCATTTGAAAAATTAAACTCAATATGTTGGTATAGTATCGTCACAGAAAAAAAAATATTTTTTGGATAAAATCTCTGGGATTCCATTGGATAGTATGTTATAATCATTATATTCTCATTTTGTTTACAAATCGTCGTAGTCTTCTATATAAAAATAAGCCATGTTAGGTATACTCGCTCTAGTGAAATCATTTTGTTTCGTACCAATATCATTACTAAACTATTGAGTTCAGTAAATAATTTTGATTTACAACCAAAAAACGACATGACAAGAAATACCTTGAACTTAGTGATCGTTCATTTTTTTTCAAATCTTTATTATTAGAAAAAGAAGTGGGGGTGGTTATCTTTTAATCATGTTTTCAAGAAATCTCTGAAACCCTTGTCTGATACAGTCAATCGTTCAATAAAAAAAACATATAGCATGTACAATTTCACGAAAATACGAATAAACAATCTACATCGACTAACATTTTTATAGATTTTCGAAATTTTGCTATGAGCTTATAACCAACATTTCTTATCGAAATATGTCTGACATTCTTTTAAATTAGCTGTATAACAGAAGTACTTGAGTCCAAAAAAATGATCGATTTAACTTATTTGGAAATTTGGTGTAATGCTTCAAAACGTGCGTAATGTCGTATGTGAAATATAAAACATTTTTAGTGAAAAAACTCAAAAACGCAAATGATCTGAAAGCCAAAGTTTCTTGCATACTGATATTTTGGCATAAAACGATTAAATAGTCAAAGTGTTGCAATACTGCTTTAAGTGCGAACTTCATGAACTCTCCTAAGTGTGGAAATAACGGATAAGCCATATCAAAGAAGTATTAAGTATTACACAAGGGGTCAAGACGACAAACAAGACTTTAAGTATATGAATTGGAGTTTCCGTATGGAAATAAAAACATTCACGGGAGAAATTAAGATTAGTGCTATTTCTGTACACGTCAGTGCTGAATCTGTATGTGCAACGTTATGTTCGATTTTTTAAATAGAGATCTATGACTAAAAGTCTCCGAGAAAACCTTACTATTGCAAAAGTTCAGAAGAGATTAGATACGAAAATAAAATCTGCTTTAATGTTTGTATTCATGCAGAGACTCCTTTTTTGGTTTTGTGAGGAAAACCTTCCCTTTTCTAGTGTTGCTATTCAGTCAACAACAAGAGATTTACGCAGCGATCAACATTAGTTGAAATTTTAAGATCAAAGACAAAAGTAAGTAAAAGGAAAAGAATTTAGAATTAGAATATTCATACATGCAACAAATATTAATCGTAATCAGTGCTTCAGTAATTGCCTGTTACCATTTCAGCTCATGAGAAATATCGTTATAGTCATTTATTATTTGACTATAGTGTTGTTATTTGATGAAAAAGAATAGAAATTCTTTATCATAAAATCAATCAAAGTTGTTTTTAGTTTTAAATATGAAAGAACTCTTAACAATATAATCATATTGAAAGTGATTTTAAAAAAACATTTTGATA